AAAGGACTTGTGTTGCTAAAGTTTCGTCGGAACGAAGTTACGGAAAATCAACTAACGAACGGAGACGTAACAATACATTTTCATTTACACCAGTTTAGGATTAAAAACGTAGCTTAATCCTAAAGATGTCTATAATATTAAATGAATAGTAGATTGAAAATGTCCTTGAAAAGAACCAAAATAAACTGAAAATATGAAGATTAACCTTATGTTAGAACAATGCATTATTTGAATGTAAACAATTATTGAGCCAACCAAGTAATCGATTACTAAATTCTTCAAATAGCCTAGCTTTGATACCAACTAAATTTGTAATAATGTTACTAATAAACTTGAAGCAAGTAATACCATCATTTTTGGTAAAATGTTTCACTGCATGTTGTATATCACTTATAAAAACAGTTTTATAATATGTAGGTCAGCTTGAATCAAAAAAGAATCTGATAAAACTACATGATAAAAGTTCAGTCAGAAATTTTAAATTGTAATGGATTTAGAAGGCAGTCAAAAGCAAAGGAATTTCAATTTGTTTTTATAATTCTCCTATAAATGTATAATACAGTGCATTTATTCCTTTCAACTTCCATTTAAAGTAATTAAATGACCACACTTGTACTCTCAAAACTTCTATTTTTTCTACATGACTAACTTGAATAGCCTTGTATGTTCATTCACAACTTCTATGTATCTTAATATCGTACTTGATGTTTACCAAGTAAATAAGTGCAAGTCTCACCAAAACTGTTTTTGTCATGAGTCTAAGGTAGCCAGCCTTAAGATATATCTATGTAATTTTTAAAGTGCTCTTGGCAGCTTTTGGTCATTCTTGATAATGCTGTGCAAACATGAGACTTGTGTATTCAGAGTAAGTGTATTCAATTTTATTGTAGTCTTTATTTCATATGTAAGTGATCTGTTAAAGTGTAAATAGAGCTAATTTCTGTCGAGTACTCTTCTATAAATAATTTGATACATTTCAGTTGGCAACCGATAGAAAATCAAATGCCGAGGAACAAGCACACATTATTACTGCTATGGAATCAGAAGACAGTTATGCTGTTTATCCAGCTCCATTAATTAATTCTGTTTCAGATGAATCATCAGAAATTGCAAAACCTATCCTACCAGATTCCAAACAGGGAGATGTGAAACATCATAAAACCTCGTATGTATATTTAGAAATAAGAATATGTTTTCATATTGTACCCCTAAAAAGCATGAAAAAAGCAACATATAAAAAGTCCATTCAACATTGTGATTTACAGAATTATCTCTTTGTAACCTAATTTATACAAACATTTTCATACTGCTAGAAACTGAGCATTTATTCTTGAATTGTAATTATCACATTTATTTGTAGATAAGAAATATATAAATGTATATTACATCTTTCAGTTTTTATATGTTTTAATCCCATCCAGGTTTACTGAAAAAAGCCGTCACATATGTATTTCAATTAAACTCAATTTTGTGATGTACTATGTCATGCATTAAAAAAAAGGCACATAACATTTTTACACTACAACTATATATAAAGTATTGTGGTTAGTTTACATATCAATCTATGAGTCCATCGTTCATGTCCTGTTACTGCAAAAAGTAAATAAGAAATTATGCTCTGCATTTTGGGGTTTTGGGTGTGTTATATGGATGACAGTCATATCCCACTATTCAGTCAGAAAAAAGTAGCCCAAGAGTTGGTGGTGAGTGCTGTTGACTATAGCTACTTTCTCTCTAATCTTATTAGTTTAAACTTAGCAAATAGCTCCTGAGCAGGTTTCCATGAATGTCCTTAAAAAAGTCTTTTGTTTCAAGTTATTGGTATACAACTAGGGAACTTAATAATGTCATGACAAACATCATACCCAGGTATTTGAATTAAATATATGTTATTGTAGTCTTGCCTTACTTCAGTGTTTTTGTAAAAGTCAGAATCAGTGGCTTATCAATTATGAATGATAGAAATTTGTTGATTAATGACTAGTTAAAACTCTTGCATCACTTAGATGAAATTAACACATTGTGAGTTTGGTACATACTCTTATCTGAAGTTTTTTGTTCAATTTCTATTCTACTACGAATCAAAATAATCTTATTACCTGTATTTATTGTCTAGCAGGCACTATAGCTATATCTATCTTTATAATTTTTTCTTGTTGAAAGGCTTCTTATATTAATTGAGCTCATATTGTATAAGTAACAGATAAGTTTAACATCAGTAAATTCTATTTTATTTGTAGAAGACTACTAAGTTTTGTATTTTACATAGGCTAAGATGTTTTACACTAAATTAATATTTTTTATCAAGTTATTCCAGGTTTGTTTGGATGTAAAGTTATTGTTATATCTAATACAAGCTGTTTCTAGTGTCTTTTCTGTTGAAACACCTAGTTCCAAATGATATTACCTCACCCATAGCTGTCTCGACATTCATTTGCTCTCTAAGCATTGCATTGTAAATTTTTTAATAGCACACCAATCTTTTATACCCCTATATTTTTTGCATCATAGCAGCAACATGTGCTGATCATATTACCACCCTCCACCAATCCCATTGCCTCCCTTGTACTAGCTCAAGTAGTTCCCTCTACCGTTGAAGCACAATCCTCACTTTCTCGATTGGCACTACAGCATTTAGATGTGTGTTTTAAGTTGTTCTTCAAGTGAATTTTGCCCAATTCTTGTGCTAGTTTTCAATTTTCAGTTGAAATTACTTGTTCATTTACTATTGTTTGATATTTCTTACATTTTTCTGAATGTCCACGCGGACTTACGAGTTTGAATCTTCATGTGGCAGATGAAGAAGTTCCTGCCAATATGGATGACGCTAATGTCACTAGTTCCCAGTGTGGCAGGTTGCTAATGTTGACCAAGGAGATTCAAACTTTAATTTGGTGGGAGTAGGATGCTTTGGCTGCTGCTTCTGCTCGTTCTCCTTTCCCCCCTGAACACGCTTCTTAGGTAGTTTTTCCTCAGGGTGAGGACAGTTTCAACACTGATTTTCTGGCTTCAGCTTTTTCAACCAGTCACATAATGCTGATAGTCAAGATAGTTTTCCATCCACGCCTTTTCTACAACTTACTGATCAGATATATCATATTTTACATGTATCACCTTTAGCCCTCGATTCTTAATCTTCTTTGCTGGAAGAAGATCCTCGTCTTTATTATTATTATTTTCCTCCTTCTCCCGACATTCTTGTTCATGCTCAATGTTTTGCTGATCAAGTGCAGTCGGGTATAGATATGCCCCGTCCCTCTTGGCCTTTTGACCAATTTTCTTTTGCTTACCAATGCATTTGCCTTACTTTTACCATCCTGTTACATATTGTTTCCTCTTTACAATTGTTGTCTCAAGTCTTCTGCCAGTCTCGTAATCAGTTCTTGGAAGCCCTCAGGACCCTTCTGTGGTCTAATATGGCTCGGTTGTAGGCTCACCACAAGGATCTTGTGTTGCTGGGATGGAATGCATTACTTGTGGGGGTGCATCTCCCTTTCTTCTTTGAGGGAGCTTAGTCAGGCCCCATTTCTACACAAAACAATTCTTGGGTGTCTTCCTGAGTCATTAGAGTCCAGGGTCAATGTGGAAAAATTGCATTCTTCCTTGTCCTCCATTACCTCTTGTTTGCATTGCCCTTCTGATTCTGCTCAATCTTTGCCAGTTCAGGTTTCTTGTGCACCTTCTTCATCTCCCCACTCTTTACCCTACTCCAGTGTTCCCTTACTTATGCCCATTCCTATTGGACTCAGTGCTATTGGGGACAGTTTTCTGCCATCTGGCAACCCTTCACGACAAATCAATGGATATTACGGATATGTAAGTTCTGGTCCCTTCCACCCCTATCCTCTTCCCATTTTCCTTTCATCATTTTCAGGATCGTGCCTTATCCAGTTGTTTAGCAGAGTCGGTTCATGACCTTCTTCACAAGGGAGCTATCAAATGTGTGGTACCTGTTCTTCCAGGTTTTTACTCCCATCTATTTGTAGTCCCCCAAAAGACAGGAGATTTGAGACCTATCATTGACCTGTCACTGCTGAATACTTTTTGAAAGCACCCCAATTCATTATGAAATCATCCTACCTCTCTCTTCAGTGGGTTTTCCCCACGTCTTTGGATGACCAAATTGGACATGACAGATACTTATGAAGTGGTCCCTTCATCCTCAAGTTTTTCAGTGGGTGTGTTCTTGCCTGGGAATGCCTCACATAGAAAAGTTTGCCACTCATTTGAATGCCAAACTTCCCTCCTTTTGGTCTCCTGTCCCACAACCCTCAGCTCTAGGGGTGGACGCATTCAGTCAGGATTGGAGGGGCCTTCTTCTGTATGGTTACCCTCTGATCAGACTCATCTCCAGGGTTGTTTCCCTCATCCATACCACTCCTTGCCGTGTGTTGCTTGTTGCTCTGTATTGGGCCTGCCCAGTCATTCTTTCCTTTACTCAGGCCCTTATTGAAGTAACAACCCCTGCTCTTACCTCCATCCAGATCTCTCCCACAGCAAACTCGGACATGTTTCATACCAACATAAACAAACTCCATATTCACGTGTGACTTTTGTCCAGTTCATTGCCTCTTCTCATGGACTCACCCTTTGAGTAGCATTTTGCTTACCCAATCCATTAATCCTTTCTCCTCGTCTGTGTATCAGCATTGTTGGTCTATCTTCTAACAGTGGTCCATTCATGTCCTTCTTTTCATCACATGCCTCTGTTCTTAACCTGGTTATTTGATCAGGATTTGTCTGTGTCCACTGTTTCTAGTTATTGTGCTTCTCTGTCCCACACCTTCCATTTTCATAGATCCTTCTCCACCCCTGTTATTTCTTTTCAAATTGTTCATCAGCCCCATCCACATTTTTCATGCCCTCTCTCATTCTCCTTTTGAACCATTGCTACTTGTTCATTATACCATCTTTCCCGTAAGACCTATTTCCTTCTTCTCCTAGCTTGTTGTTGTTCTTATATTTATGCTATTAATGTTTCATGTACCCTTTACCATGCTTCTTATGTTCTTCTTTATCTCGATCATTCCTTCATTCCCAAGACACCAGCTACTCGTGAAGGTTGTTTTGCCTTTTCTCCTATTTCCTTACCTTCCATTTCCCATATATACTTCCATTCCAATGCTGATAGTCTTCTTTGTTTGGTACATCCCCTTTCTTGTTATACATCTCGTACTTAATCTTTTCATGGTTCCCATACTTGCCTCTTTATTCCTTGTAATCCCTCTATTTCCTGTGATCTTTTTCCAGTTACCCTTATTGGCTGTGTTCCACAACTCATTCGTCTAGCTTTTTCTTATTGATAGAAGATCATTGGCTGTTTGATGTATCTTTGCACCAAATATGCCCTGTAACTATATGTTTAGCTGCTCAGATCCACCATTGTTTGGAGGAAATTATTCAAGCAGGTATGTGGATAACTCCCAAAACTTGTGTTGTGCATTATTTGCATGATATAGTTGTGTCTTCCTCAATTCGGTATCATCTTCTGCATATGGCGATTCTCTACATGTCTGTTTTGTTTCTATTATACCTTTTTTCCCCTTTTATTTACAGTTGTTTTACATTGTATTTCTGGATCCCACTTTGTGGCAGGTATTGCTTGGTCAGGTGTGCTCAATAATTTTATACTTGCACTAACTCTGCATAATTTCTAACTTTCACTGTAGAGATGTGGTGTTTCTGTAAGACCACTGGACACTTTTATGGTTGTGTTTCTATATCTACATATTTTATTTTACCACTATCTCCTGAGGACTGTCACTCATAGACTACATGAGTAAAGCACATTGCACTGTCTCTGGAGTATCATTCCTCCAGAGCTCCCAATGCATATTCCCCTCTTCTAGTGGAGCATGGGGGTTCTTGCCACTTCTGGTTCTCAGTAGCTGGAATGGTGGATTGTGGAGGTTTTCTTACAAGTGGGTTTTGTACAAGAACACAATCTCATAGCCATATGTCCTCAGGGCTATCATTGTATGCTTCACATTCTACAATATGAGTATGCTATTCACTATCTTATGCAAGGATCTTCCACTAGATGTTTTCTGCCCAGATGGATCGCACTTATCATACTACATCATACCATAAGAAGCTTCCCCCGGATGTTTTTTTTTTTACATGGGTGGACCACACTTGTTGATCTCACAATATCTTAATGTACACAATATGGCATTAAGTCTCTTATGGAAAGCACTTCCACTGGATGTTTTCTGCCCAGATAGACCCACACTTGACATAATCCAATGTATACCAAGGTGCTTCCCCTGGATGTTTTTGCCCAGGTGGATCTCACTTTGCTATCTTGATATAAATCCAAGGCACTTCTCCTGGATGTTTTTGCCTGGGCAGACTGCACCTGTTGAATTTACAAACTAATGCAAGGTGCTTCCTTGTTCTTTTTGTTCTTGGACCACACTTGGCATAATATGTCGTATCCGAAGGCGCTTCCCCTGAATGTTTTCTGCCAAGCCAGACCAGACTTGGCCTATTCATATCCAGTCCTCTAGCCCTAGTCATGTATACTATTCAACTCCACCCTATGTGTCTTCTCTTCCTTACTGGCTGAAGAGCATAGTTATTCCAGACATAGTGCTATACCCACAGGTGTGCTTCCTATTTTAGTTGTGACACACCTGCTTTTTCATGGCAGTCATTCTCCTCCTGATTAATTGTTTTTGTGCCTTCACTGGCCTCTTCTTCTTTCCAATGTGGGATTCTAGCTATGGGTGAGAGGAGGTAATACAGTTTTGAAAGTTGAAATTTTCTAACACTGAAAATGTATTTCTGATAAGTTCTTACCTCCTGCCACCCTTTCACTCCACTGATTCGCTGGTATTTCGGGTTTGTATGTGCCAATTCTCGAAAATGAGGATTGTGCTACTATTTGCTAGTATATGGGGTGCAATGGGATTGGTAGAGGGTGGTCACATGACCAGCACATGCTGCTGCAATGATGCAAAAAATATGGGGGTATAAAAGACTTGTGTGCTTTTCAAAAAATTTACAGTGCAATGCTTAGAGGGCAAATGAAGGTCAAAACAGCTGAAACAAGAAATAAACAGATACATATATTTTTTGTTACCTTTCTTCCTTCTTGCGAATAGAAGCATTAAGTCGGCTCTAGACAGCTGGGTTAGTGATTTTCTTCGTTTCTCGGATGGAAGAACTAGCAGACAAACTGGTTTCTTCGGTTTTGGAAATGTGGGTGCCAAAAATAATGTGACTCTGACCTCCTGTTAGAACTGTTTTACTGCCAGTATATTTGAAATACATTTTCAGTGTTAGAAAATGCTAACTTCTGCTTAATGTGCATGTTGTTACGATATGTAAATGTTTTTAAAAAGTTGACAGAATGGCTAAACATCTCTTCTTGTTTTTATTTTCTTTTCTAAAATATACTTTTTTTATCTTGATGTAGAGGAGCACCAAATAATTATTTAATGAAAATATTTTAGTTTTTTGTCTATACAAAATCAACAGGGTATCAAATTTTAACATTTAAAAATCTGCGTTCTGATTTTATATGTAATTTCTTCATATTGTATTTTCACTTTTGGAGTTAATATATGTAACATTTTGTTTTTGGCTTTGAAACTTCTAGAAATTGTGAGACAATGATGCATTTAATTAAAGGGAGTATGGGAACAGGAATTCTGGCCATACCTGAAGCTTTCTCTAATTCTGGTATATTGGTTAGTTTTTACTCACTTCTATTCTAATACTTTGTTTTTCTGTTTGCTGTATGTTTGAAATATACCTGTAAGTTTTTTTTGTAGAATATTTTGTTTTATTGCCTTATTTGAGTTATTGAAGTGCTTTTTTGTTCTTTTTATAACTTGGCATTTCTATTGCATTTTCACATTTTGAATTGTGAGTTTACTTTTGATATTAGCAAATACTTCATATCACAGAGTAATACAGTTAAATAAATTCAGATAGATATTTTTCTTTAATATACCAACTTAGTCGTGATAAATGTGCATATCTATTGTTCTTTCATAATCTCAAAATAGTTTTAGAGAAAAGACAATAAATTATCGGTTATAAATTTTTCCCGAGAAGAATTAATAAAGCATGAAATGTTGTTGTGAACTGTGTGTAATAAAACATCTTGATAGTTTGTTTTATCTCTTTATTTATTAGAAAGTTTCACTTTATGACAAATTAAGTTATAATAAAGTAATTACATATGTGCCTTCATTAATATATTACATCTGAGAAAAAAAAAGTTGAATAATCTTTCTACTGATTTATTATTTTGTATTTTCTACTGGTTTCGTGCCTTCAAAAATCACTCTTCAGGGAATAGTTTTGCTGAGAATCTATAACAAAAACATACAAATACCACTTTTAAACTAAACATAAATAGTCTAAATTAAATACATATACTTTTCAGATGTACAAACATATAATACACTTCATGTACAAATTAAGAAACTTATAAATGCTCAAAAATATTTAAAATTAGTCAATATACTTTCGTTTTTAAATTAAAATCTTATTGTAATTATACTTTCTCTTATTATTATAATAGAAATGCGATTTATTTATCCTATAATTTCATACTCTTACTTTTTATTTTCTGTAAGTCTTAACTGTTACCACAGTTTCACAATTCCTGCTGACTTTACACAACCAATTCCATCTGCCCTCTTACTACTACTATCTATTTGAAGTGTCACCAAAAACATTTATAATATTTTTTCGAAAAATAATCTTTTGTGTTTTACATTACATTCCTAAAAAGGGAAAGCATGAAAATTTGGTTATTTTAGAATTTTTAATTTTCTCAAAATACATTCATTAAAATGTTTTCTGGCATATAGTGGCCATTTTTTGTGATATCTAACATGAAATTTTTGTAAATTTATCTTTGATCTTAAATTATCTGTTTCGTCAATATATAATTCATCACAACTTACACAACATAAAAGATATATCACGTTCTTAGAATTGCAATTAAATGAGTTATAATCAAAAACAAAATTTCTTTGTTATTGATCTTTATTTTGGTTAGATTTCATATAATATAAA